CCCCAGACTATACACTCCCACAGGCCAGGGATTGTCCCTCAGTCATAGTTAGATTCCTTGCATCGGCCGCGAGGCAAGCACTGTGCATGGCATCGAACTGGAAGTCACACAGAGCGTGCGCACCTGTGAGGATCCCTCAGTCATAGTTAGATTCCTTGCATCTGCCGTGAGGCAAGCACTGTGCATGGCATCGAACTGGATGTCACGCAGAGCGTGCGCACCTGTGAGGACGGCAGCTGTTCTGGGCGTCTGCTTTGAGCCAGCCGTGGTCGAGCACCCACTCCAGCAAGGACTGTCTGCACGCACAGATGTGGAAACAGGCTCAGAATGATTGACTCGGGTAAGCGCTGGCGTTCGACTCGAAGCTCCCCTGCTCCAGTGCCGCTGTCATATGGCCAGGTGGCACTGTTGCGAACGTGCACACACACACGCCCTCTCCGTGGCGTGAATACCGTGCGTCTCTGCACACACATACCTTTACCTGCCTGTGCGTAAGAGTCACCTTGGGAGCTTCGAAAATACTCATCCCCAGGCCCAGCTCTCAGGTGACGTCAGCGTCTCAGGGGGTGAGGGGCAGGCGCTGGTGTGTTTTAAAAGCTTCCCAGGTGATTCCAGTTCCAGTCCAGGCCCCACTGTGCAAGGCAGGGTCGAAATGTGGACAGACCTGTGGAGGGCTCGCGAGAGCGGTCCCGACCTGTAGCCACAGCTCCTATGAAGTTGGCTGCTCGCTGAGCTCCTGATAACCTCGGCCCTTCGGGAGATCAGGATGGCTCATCTGCCCCAGGCCGTGGTCCCTGGCGCTTCCTGTCTTGTGACAGCGTGGACCCAAGTCTCCCTTTTGGGCTGGGCCTGGACATGCCTCAGGCACCCTAAGAGGCGAGCCTTCCAAAACTGCAGCCCACTTTGCCTTATGTGGAAACGCGGGTCTCTGTGACCTGGACATGAGGGGGTGCTTTCGATTTGCAGCTGACTTAAAAACGAGGCTCTTTAATCCTGAGTGAGGCGGGCTTGTTGGGGACAGAGTCCAGCGGGCCGTAGTTCTCAGAGCACAGCGCCGTGGTCAGCACCATCGGCAGCACCTGGGGTTGTTGGGACAATTCTCAGATCCATCCCGGACCCTCCGCACTTGGAGCTCGGCAGGCTGACACCCTCTGCGTGACTCTACTGCCATGAAGGGTGACAGCCACAGGTCTAGCTGGGTGGTGAGTAGTACGTGGGTCCCTGAAATGCCAGTTGTATGGTCTTCGGCCCCCTTGGGCATCAGGGACCCTGGGAGCTTTATAAAACTCCAGGCTCCCTATATTTTCACCACGGCTCCAGGAGATTCTAAGACGCGAACCCCCTTTTTTCTTTTTCTGAATTGTGGTAGCAGGAATCGGAGGAATATTGCATTCTTTTAATAATGACTTCGTGTCCACTTGGCACAGGGCAAGATCACGTCCTCTTTCCTTTTCTTCCTGGAGTTTCACCTGCCTGGTCCCTAATTATCGGGACATTTTCCATCAGTCCTGTTACCCGTTCAGTGAAGACGGACGTTCCCTTTAGCATGGGTGTTCCTCATCGCTGGATTGTTCACTGCCACATAAAAGCCACAAATGGGTTTTACGATCTCCGGCATACTTAATTAGTCTATCTTCTCAAAATTGTGTTTTCAGTGAGTGAAGACATTAGCCTCTGATCTAATTGATCCACAAAGCATCTTTTTAGCATGTTTGTGTATCTTAAGTGTTGATCCAGGGGGGACGTCTCTGAGGCTGACTTAAGGAGGTACAGACCCTATGACTTCCTGTCACCCTTGCGGGTCACCCTGCCAAGGGCAGGTTTGAGGCAGGATGGGCGCCACAGGCACAGGTGTCAGCTCTTTCTAAAAGAGCCGATTATTTTTCTTGTGCTCCTGGTTGTCTCTATCCCCACCACCCTTATCTGCCATCATAAATGTCCATACCTGTGCCATAGTTTATGACAAGGCACACCTGCCCAAACGGATATGCTGCCTAGTCTATATGTCATTAAGCCTCATGGTGGAAATGAAAGAGGGCTTCTGCTCCAGCTGGTCCCACCTGTCCACCCTCCCTCCCACTTTCACTGTCCTTTACCCCCGTGGTGGAGGTCGCCAGGCTGCAGATACACTAGACGGCTCGAAGTGACTGGGGTGCACTCAGGGGACCCTGCCCGGATGTATCCCTGTTGCATTTTTGCATCTGGCCTCCTCTAGGAACCTCTCAAGACTCAGCACAAAGGCCTAGATGAAGCTCCCAAAGCACCCCCACCTTCTAGGCGGTCAGGCTACCTTCTTTGGGGTTCCCACGTTGCCTACCTCTTGCACGCCCCTGTTAGAGCACGTATGCCATCATGCTTGTTTTAGGTCATGAAGCAAAGGAGTGAATAAACGAATCCTTTGTTTTTACTCGCCAGACCTTTCAGAAAGAATTTCTTTGGGAGCATTTGAGAGCTATTTTAGTGAGACCGGAACTCGCTAAATTTCTTTTCGCGACAATTGCAAATACTTGGTGTTTGGAAAATAACACTCTAACCACGTAACTAGGGGTGACGGAGTTGTGAGCTGGCCTCGACTTGGTTAGAAAGCCCTGTGGAAACAACGATCGGAATTGGAATGTGGGAAACAGAGGGGCACACGGGTGTCCCGTCGTCGGTCACAGGCGGGGGCCTGTGCCGGGGTGAGAACACTGCTCTTCAGAGCTTTGCCGCAGGACCAGTGCTGAAGGAATGACAGAGTCATGCGTGTCACCGTGTTAGCGCGGTGACACCCAGGGACCTTTAACGAAATCCCAGGGCCCGGGCTGCTCCCAGACCAATGGGTCAGAAACTGGGGGGGGCCAGGCATCTAAAATTTTTTTAATGCTTGCCAACTGCTTCTACCTGAAGGCAGCTTGGGGAACCACGGGGCTAAAGGAGTCTGTTTCAATGTGTGTGGGGTCGGAAGTATGGCTAAGAGGCGTCTTCATGTTACATTTCTTTTTTATAATAAAGGCCGAGCAGAGGTTTGCTAATTGATCATCACAGGCACACGTGGTGTGTGCGCGCAGGCTCGTGCGTATGGACATTACTAGGGAGGTTGTGGCTGCCTGGGCGTTGATAACAGTGCACATGTTTGTCACTTGGAGGAAGGCTAGATTCATGGAACTCCCCCCCCCTCCGCCTTCCTGAGCAGCATACGCCCAACCGATAAGTGCTTGCAGCTCAGTGGCCCCCAAAATATAATTCTGTGTCTCCAAGTGCTTCTAAAATTCCCCCGTTCGTTTCCATTGCCAGTGTATCGACTTAGGCCTTTTCTCCTCTCTGTAACAGTCCAGCCTTTTTCTCTACGGGCACATTCACGTCTTCGCTCTCACGCCCCCGTTAGCCACACCTGGGGTCACTCGTAGCTTTACAAAGCCTTTGATGCTCCCCGATGCTCCACAGATAATTGATAATGGTTATAGATAGCCCTTACCTAGCATGTACACCTCGGTGTTATTTACCCCTGGCACCGGCCCCACGAGGTAGCACTGTTAGCCCTATTTTACAGGTGGGAAGGTGAGAGCATGGGGTAACTTGCCCAAGGTCACAAAGTCAGGGCGGACCCAGGCTTTTGGGCTCCAGAGCTCTGACTCTGCACCCCTCTGCTTGGCCGCCTCTCCCTGCTCTCTGCTAAGGGACTTTGCATTCATTGGGTCTGACCTTCCCAGCCATCCTGCTAGGTGGGTATTTTTCCTGTTTCACAGAAATCAGGTCTTGGACGGGTTAAATAACTTGACCAAAGGCACAGCCAATTAAGGAACTAATAGTTGGTGCCCTGCCTCCCTGACCCCACCGCACTGCACAGGACTGTCTAATTTCATTAGGCTGGCACCTCTGACTATACTCTGTCCTCAGCTCACCTTTCCAGGTAGTTCCATGCCATTATGAAGCCACGCCACCTGACTTCGCTCACACTGTTTCTTTTGCTGGAAACTTCTTCCAGCTAGGGCTGTCGCATCCCCCGTGACGGAAACTCTTGCCTTGCTCATAATCCCCTATGTGGAACCTGCAAACAGCAGGAAGCAGAGGCCATTCATTTCCGCTCTCCCTCAGGAAGCCCGAAAATAAAGCACCTCCTCTTGACCACCCCCTCCCTGCCCCAAGTGTGACGTTTGCATCATGAATGTCACATCCAGGCACTTCGTGTCACCCTTAGGTCCCTGCCCACCTTTCTGCTAGGTGGCATCTTCAGGCCAGGTGTGGTATCTTCCTTGTTTGTTCTGTCTTCTGCGTTAGGGCGTAAGGTAGCCAACAGAAGCTATTCTGTAAATGTTTGTTCAACAAAACTAAAGCAGACAAGAATGCCAAGGTGGGAAAGTCATAAAAATATTTCATCCAAGGGGCTTTGGCAGGGAGGGCTGTAGGGCATAGAGCAGTCAGGGATGTATTTACCTGGTGGCTTCTAGAGACACCTACATTGTCTGGAAATTTCCAGAGTGAAGCGAAGAGCTAACGATTTGCCTCATGAGCTCATCTAGCTTGTCCATTTTGCCACCAGGGTTTTTGTTTCATTTAGTTTTTATTTATTTTCCTTAGGTATGCTAACCCGGTTAAAAAATGAAAAATGAAAAAGGAACGCAAAAGCCTGGCTCCTAGGCCCGCTCAGCACGGATTTTTAAAATAGGATAGAGTTGGGAGTGTGTGAAAACTGTGGACTCCTGGACTTTCACAGGACTCCTGGGCCCCAGATCGCCGTGGGGTGGGAGAAACTGTGCTTCCTGAATAGAGGCAGAACCATTCGGGACGGAAACTGGTGCCAAGAAAAACTTCTTTGCCACTGGCAAAGTTAATTCTTTAACGGTGTAATTAGGGTTATCATAGTTAAGTAAACGTTTTCTAGACTCTTCAGGTTTAAAGCACTTTGCACAGGTGCCTTTTCGCATCGAGGACAAAGGGGCGCGTGCGCCGCGAGGCCGGAAGGGGGCCTCCTCCGTGGCGCCCACCGGGATTGGCGTTGAGATTTCGTTTTGCACCCGCAGGTGAGCGTGCTGACCACCCTGGAGCGGAGGTTCAACCTGCAGAGCGCCGACGTGGGGGTCATCGCCAGCAGCTTCGAGATCGGCAACCTGGCGCTCATCCTCTTCGTGAGCTACTTCGGGGCGCGCGGGCACCGGCCGCGCCTCATCGGCTGCGGGGGCATCGTCATGGCGCTGGGCGCGCTGCTGTCCGCGCTGCCCGAGTTCCTGACCCACCAGTACAAGTACGAGGCCGGCGAGATCCGCTGGGCCGCCGAGGGCCGCGACGTGTGCGCCGCCAACGGCTCGGCCGGCGACCAGGGGCCCGACCCAGACCTCATCTGCCGCAGCCGGACCGCCACCAACATGATGTACCTGCTGCTGATTGGCGCCCAGGTGCTCCTGGGCATCGGTGCTACGCCCGTGCAGCCGCTGGGCGTCTCCTACATCGACGACCACGTGCGCAGGAAGGACTCCTCTCTCTACATAGGTAGGGGCGGCCCGCCCAGGGCTGCGGGGCTCTTTCGTGCGTGTGCGCGGCGCGTTCGTCACCTGGGTGTGTGGGCAGAGGAGGGGCAGGTGGGCCCGTGAACTTCGTGTTTTGCCAGAGCCATGGTTTTCGGGCCTGGCTTCAAACACTCAGGGATTTCGAAGAATGCTGATGTCTTGAGTTGCACCCCCAGAAAATCTGGCGTGGTTGGTCTGGGGTGCAACCTGGGTGTGGAGCCAGTTTTGAAATGCTCTCAAGGTGATCCTGCTGTGCAGGATTTGAGCTCTGCTATGGTAGAGCATTAACTGACCTTGGGTGGGACTACGTGCTTAGGAGTTTTAGTTTTATTTATCTGCCTCTGTGTGTGTGTGTGTGTGTGTGGACTTTGGCTGTCTTGCACTAGCCTCCACAGTAGACTTGGGGTTTACACATTGGAAACCACAGTTTTTTGTGTGTGTGTGTGTGTGTGTGTGTGGGTGTGTGGACTTTGGGTGCCTTGCACTAGCCTCTACAGTAGACTTGGGGTCTACACATTGGAAACCACAGTTTTTAACAATCAAAACAATCTTTTGGTCATTGTCCTGTTGAAACTCAGAGAGAGAGAGGATCGCATTCCTAGCATTTGGTACCAAAGTTGGTGACCTAGAGTCATATTTTTTTTTTCCCCCTGTAACATGGGTATGTGCTAGAACTGGGTATTTTGGAAGAAATAAAGTACATGTGAGTTTTTAAACATTATTTTGCGCTGTAAGAGCTTCTGATGCTGTATACTGGAGGGATAGAAGCCGTTTGCAGACGTGAGGTTAAGAAATATCTGAGCGGTGAATTGCTTTCACAGAAAACAGAGTCCTTGGTCAACATCACTGCCCTGGGCCCTTTTGCATGACCATTTGTAGAGTGAGGGCCGGCCTGCCTAGCTTCCCATCCCTTGTCTACCAAGTACAAGCTGTCACCCAGTGCTAGGCTTTGAAAAAATCACCTCTACCTGCAGAAGCTTTGTGCCTCCCCCAAAGCAGTGTGCCTTGAGATATGAAGTTTGTCATAACATAGAGGTTTAGGTTACACAGAGTTTAAACAGATCTCGACATAAAGCATCATATCTGCCAAGCTTCCAGCACACGCTGCCCAAGCTTTCTTTCTGAGACAAGTGGCTTGGAACAGTTGCACACATGAATGCTGATTTCCCGCTGTGCCTTTCTGTCCCAGCTATGGAGTAGATTGTTTTGCTGAAAAATGTGTTGCAGGTGTATGTTTCAGCCCTCTGTGAACAGGCTCGGGGTGAAAAAGGTGGCCTCTGTGAGCCTGGTCATGTGACCTAATCGGGGAACACAAAGCAGAAGAGAAGCCTGGTCAGTCAGACATGGCCAGTCCCTCTCCCCATGGGGTTAGCAGCTTCCATAATTGTTTCTGAAGGTGAGCACAGAGGCCTAAGGGAGTCATCGACATTTTGTTACTTTTAAAGCTTGAGCGAAAGCCATTCCATGTGACTCTGTTACAGACTGGGACATGGGACACAGCATGTAGTCTCGAGGTCCAGCCGGACAGTGGGTCTCTGACCTGATGGATGCCACCCTGGGACCCTAGGAGAGATGTCTTCTGGCAGTGATGACAGCCAGTAGGCAAATCAGAGCACAGAGAAGGAAATGGGGAGTGTGAGGCTGAGTTCTTGTCTCTGATGATAGAATCGGGTAGAAAAATTTCTCCCCAGAATTGCTGCTCGAGCTGGACCAGTGCTGATCACCTCTGCCCTGGGCTTCCTGCCCGGAGCAGTGGGCTCAGAGCCCTCTTCTGGGCATCTCCCCTGGTGTGTCAGGCTGTGGTGCTTCCAGGCACAGGATGGAGCCTGGTTTGCATGCGCAAAGCTTCAGGGTGAGGAGGCGTTTGGTTTCGGGGGTGGGCGGTGG